TTTTTAGAAGCTCAATTCAGAATAGCCAAGCTTTGGAGCCAACTTAAGTTACCTTCAGTGGATAAAGAAAATGTGATATATGTACACAATAGAATATTACTTAGCCATAAAGAAGAATTAAATTATGGCATTTGCCAATAAATGGATGGAGTTGGAATCTATCATGCTAACTGAAATTAGCCCAGTCCCCCAAAAGTCAAAGGTCAGATGTTTTCTCTGATGTGGAAGCTAATCTAAAATGGGGAGGAGGAAGAAAGGGAAAAAAAGAGAGGGAATTTCATCAAAATATAGGAAAGATTAGTTAGTGGACAAAGGGGATTGGTGGGGAGAAAGGAAGGACAGGATAGGGGAAGAACAGTGGAATGAACCTGATCAAACTTTCATATGTACATGAATATACCTCGGTGAATCCCAACATCAAATACATCCACAAAACACTAATTTTTTTAAGCTTATAGATAAATTGCAGAAAGGTCAGTAGAGTAGAGGGAGGAGATCAAGGGGAGAAAGAAGGAGGGCGGGAGAGTGCTGAGGACTGAGTTAGAGCAAATTATATTCCATGCCTCTATGATAACATCACAGTGAATCCTAATGTTACATATAAAAAAGGTTAATACCACCAAAGTCAAAGAAAGATCAAGGAAATGTCTGGTTTAGAGAAGACTGAGCGGACACAATAACTACATGAAATGCCTGATCCTTGATCAACTCCAAAGGTAGACGATAAAGAACATTGGGGCAGTTGGTAAAAATGATAGGTGAAGAATAGGAAAAGAGTATTGCATTAATTTTACATTTCCTGAAACTGATTATTTTACATGGTCACAGAAGAGAGTATCTTTGTGCCTGGAAATTCACACTGACATACCTTGGGGCAAAGCACCCTATTTTTCATGTTATTTCCTCTATGGATGTTTATTGAGGATGACTTGTGCAGGAAGTCTATGCCAAAGTAACCCTGTGGCTGCTGCCCATCACTAAAGTACTGGAGAACTTTCAAATATTTCACTTGTGTTGCTAGTAGTAAAATTGGGGGATATGACTTCATGGTCGGTCTGTCTTTTGTTCATAATGTTTTCTTTCTTTTTCTTCTTGTATCTTTGCACGGGTCACATGACAGTTACTTTGAGGAAGGGCTCAGCTAGAATTTCTTTTATTTGTTGTTATTAGTTACACATGACAGCAGAATGTATTTTGACATGTTATGCATCTAAGGAATACAACTTCCCATTCTTGTGGTTGTACGTGATGTGGAGTTACATTGGTCGTGTGTTCATATATGCACATAGGAAAGTTATGTCCAATTCATTTAACTATCTTTCCTATTCCCCTCCCCGCTCCTCCCCTTTATTCTCATTTGACGTATAGAAAGTACTTCTATACTTCCCTGTCCCCCATGCCACTTATGGTGAGTTAGCATCCACACATCAGAGAGAACATTCAGCCTTTGGTTTTTTCGGATTGGCCTATTTCACTTAGCATGATACTCTCCAGTTCCATCCACTTACCTGCAAATGCCATCATTTCATTTCCTTTATGACTGAGTAGTATTCCATTGTGTAAATGCATACAATGGAATAGTACTCAGGTAGAAATTTTGATCTTTTCAAAAATCTCCCTGAGAAGCAGAGAAGCTGGTTCACTCTTTCAGCATGTCTCCAGCCTGTGATGGCTGTGGTTAAAAACACAATAGAGCCCTGGGGCTGTTGCTCAGTGGTAGTGCATTTGCCTGGCAAGTGTGAGGCACTGGGTTCAATTCTCAGCACCACATGTAAGTAAATAAAATAAAGGTCTATCAACAACTAAAAAAAATACTAAAAAAATAAATAAAAAGACAATAACTCATAGTATGTGCTTATGGTGACTTCTGTGAAAGATGCTGGTGAATGCAAGATGTTCAGGGGCAACAGCAGGACAAATATCCCTGAGGAAAGGTGGTGGGAGCTGGGTTTGATAAAGTGGGAGTTCAACAGTGAGGCTGAGAGGGAAAGGCAGGCTGGAAAAAGTAAAGAACAGGAGCAGATGGGTTCACCTGAAAGCTTATGGCAAGACTAATTTTCCAAAGACTGAATCTAGGTTGTGGGAAATGAGTGGATTGCAGAAGAAACATGTTGATTCAGTGCCTACACTCTCCCAATTACTATAAGGTGGATAGATAGCACCCCCTTTTAAAGATGTAGAAATCAAGCTCAATAAGGCAGTATGTTGCCCAAGGTCATTGCATCAGCGTTTTTGCACTAATATAACAAAACACCTGAGACAATTAACTTATAAAGAGAAAAGGTTAATTGTGGCTCACAGTTCTGGAAGTTCCAGTTCAAACTTGGATAGCCCCATTGCTTTGGGCCTCTGGGAAGGGCATGGTGGGGGGATTATGTGCTAGGACAGATTACTTATATCATGATCCAGGAAGCAGAGCAAGGCAAGAAGAGGCTGGGGTCCCACAGTCCCCTTCAAGGGCCTCCCATTGGAACCCCATGTCCCAAAGGTCCCACCACCTCAAAATACAGCCACTCTGGGAACCCAAAATATGGATTTTTGGAAGACAGTATTCATAGTCAAACCATAGCAGCCATGTTCCAAGTAAGGGTAGAAGTAGGATCTGGAACCCAGATCTTTGACTCTGGTGTGCTTTATCAACAAGTTTATGTTTCACAAAGGGGCAAAAATAGTTTTTGGAAGGAGAGGAAAATCTTGATTTTTTTTCTATAAAGTGCAGATCCCATTCGGTACATAAACAGGTGAACAGGGTAACTGGCGTGTTAAAATTTCACAGAGGGCAAATTAATGAAGAAATGTCTAAAAGAGTTCCCTCTGGAGACAGTCCTGAGGACACAGGTGGCAGAACATCGCTCCACAGCAAGATGGGCCCACAGAGGTGTGCTCAGAACCACTGGGTCCTGGGATGCCTGAGTCAGGTCAGAGTTCCTGTCCTTTGAGCTAATGGTTTGTTTCCTTGGCTTCACTAGCAAAGAGTGACTCCTACGGTTCACTAAGGTCGTGGATCCTGTTTGTGAAGGGTGACAACGTGAGCGTGTGCTGATTCAGGAAAGGAATTTTCATCCTGTGACGTAAGTCCTCACCCCTTGGCAATGGGTAGAGGGTAGTGAGCATATCAAAGGAGAGCATCCCTGGGAGAGGAACCCTGGGCCACTGTGGCCCTTGGTTGAATGATATTGAGGGAGTGAGAAAGCCCAGACTTCCATTTTCCTCCCAGATGAATAATGTTAACTCTGGGTATTCACTTCTGAATGTCGACACAGGCAACTTCCACGAACCGTGTGGCTTATTGAAATAGAAATGGACGTCTCACAGTTCCTGATGCCAGATATCTGAAATCAAGGTGCAGGCATGGTATGCTCCCTCGGAAACACAGGAGGGAATCCTTCCTTGACTTTTCCTAGATTCTGTAGTTTGTTATCAACCTATAGAACCATCCATGTATTTGGTTGCTGTTACCAATCTTGCAGCTCAAATCTCAAACATGGGTCCTCGGCACGTTAGACTATGAATGGCATCCGTGTGACTGACACTTAAGAAAGAGATACAAATAGTGGCTAATAGGCAGGAAAAGAGTCACGACAGGTGGCCATGGATGAGAGGGCAATGGCTTTAAGACAAAAGGTAAATTCCTTTAACTCCAGCAAGGATTTCATAAATCTCTCATTTTCCATTTCTATACATGCATGAAGCATGAAGCTGTGCCGTCCCTCATCTCAGCGCACGTATTTCGCTTATTTCATCGAACCTTTCATTGAACACTTATTTCATTGAACCTTAATTTCACTGTGTTCGGAAGGGTGGGATCTGGTCTTCCTCTTTGCACCCCACAAAGTTTGAGCACAATGCCTGGCACATTGTAGATGCTCAGCAATGTGGTATCCACGCCTCGGAGCCCAGACTGTGTTTCATAGACCAGCCAGGGGTAGGTAGGGTCCCCACGATCATACCTCCAGTGACCTACTTCCTTCAGCCATCCCCGCCTGCCTATGCGTTTCACCACCTCCTATTAAGTCCATTCAAATTATTATCCCTCCAAGTGGACTAATCCACTGATAAGTCAGAACCCTCAGGATCCAGTCATTTCACCTCTGGACATGGCTGCATTGCCTGGCACATGAGTTTTAGAGGAACATTTCAGACCCAGACTATAGCACATCCCCAGCCCTGTTCAGAGGGGGTTGGTGGTGTTTGCTTGACGTAGAACTGAGGTTGTTGATGAGTGCAGCTTTCAACACTTTAATACGAGTTTTAAACCATTAATTAAAGCTCTTGACATAAATGAAAACCTGCCATCCCCTGGAGGCTGTCTCTACTTTAAATGTATGGCAGGTTCCTAATTCACATATTCTGTTTGCATATTTTAAAAAATTAATGAATTTGTTGTCCTGCAGTGTGTTCCATGGGATCTTATTACAGAGAAGGTTCTGCATTCCAAGTAGTTTGCAATGTAGCCAAGCTACTCACTTGAGTCGGCTGCATATTGTTATAGAACCAAATGGATTATTAAAATATGAATTGGTGTTTAAGGTATTTTCAGCAGTTTATATCCCTCATTTGCTTAATATAGCCCTACTAGTTATCACTCTCCACTACAACACAAGGGAAACCATATCTTTGTCTAAGTAATATGTGTGTGCATGTGTTCAAATAAAAAAAAAAACCCTGATTACTCTCCATGTAGCAGGAAGATTTAATGTCTTTTCTGCTGTTCTGAAGTTTCCAAAGTTTCTTCAGTCAATGCTTATTACTCATGTAATCAAGAAAGCTATGACTGTTATTCAAAAACATGTGATGACCTTCCAGGAAAAAAAAAAAGGCTAGATCCAGGCCAAGAATAAAAATAATCATTTCTATTGGTTATCAAAGAATGGTCAAGAGTTGAAGATACTGAAGATTCTAACCCTGGATTTCCCCAACAATAAAAATAGACTCATGTGTGTCCACAGTTTGGAAATTATATAAACGAAGCAATTGTTCACAAAATATACTTCACTTACCTGCTCCTGGATGGAATTGAGCAGGGACTTCATGCAGTTGTAAAGCAAGTCTTGGGTCTGGGTTGGAGATAGACCTGATGGTTCTCATGGAGGTCAGTGTCATTGTCCAGGGGGGGAGTTCAGGAATATCTTTTGTAATGGTATTTTGATTATCACCATGGTTGGGATTATTACTGAACTCTAGTGCTGCAGACCAGCAATTCTGTGGTATGTAGGATAATCACAGATCAAGAAGATCTGTTCCCTCCGAATACTAGCCAGGTTCTGTCAAGCAACAGCAGGAGACTGTATTGAGTAGGTTTTTCTCTGAACAAAGAGGAGAGTAAGGACTTTATGACTCAGGCTGGGTATTGTGCTCAGAATGAATGATGGGCCTCATTTCCACCTGAAAAGACAGCAATGTTTTACTGTAGAAGAGTTAGTTCTCTTCTTCTGGTGTGAACAGAGATAGTCCACATGATATGTAACTTTTCCTCTTCCTAACAGGCACTGTACCCTGCAACGAGGCCTATAGATGGTATTAGCGGTGCTAACATTTATGGGATGCTTAATCAAGTGCCAGGCATGGCCAATAATCACCCATGATTCTGTTGGCTTAATAGAGTCATTGTCATCTCTGCATGTTATCATCCTTACAAATCCATATTCTGAATGGTGATCATCAGCATTATACCCACTTTTTACTATCCTTTTGCTTAGTCATATCAACTCTTAACCACATTTCCATATAATATTCACAGTTACTTTGATGCCTATTACACAGTCTATTATGATATGGTATCACAATATATTAACCCATTTTCATGATTTTAAACATTGTGGTTTCTTTTCCTATTATTATTTTGCAACTACAGACAGTGTCCCCCGTGACATCTTTGTATAGATGTCCTTTGGCTTCTGGCTATTTTCTTAAGAAGAACTCTAGGAATAAAACTCTAGGTTCAAAGGCTGTATGTAGTTTTGACTCTTCTTCAATAGTATCACTTTGCTTTCTCACAAATTCTATGAACTTATTCTGCCACCAGCAATAAACATCACTTTCCATATCAACTCACCAATATCAAGTTCTCATTTAAAAAAAATTTTTTTTCACTACTTTTTGGGGACATAGAGCAATTTTGACTGTAGAAGTATTAAATATTTCAAACTCTCTGGATATTTTCCTTAAAAGATCCTCTTCGCCTCTTGAGATGGTTAGGAATATAGAGTTAGAAGCTGAATCCACAGTTAATATTATTGAGGACCACGAATCAACTCTGAGCTGAATACTGTGTTCATTAATCCTTTGGCCACCTCAGGGAGACATGAAATGGAATCAAATACACATCGACTGAGGATATGGCATTAAAGTTAATACACAAGACGAGGAGACAGATCCCTCTGTGTCAGACCCCTTGGGTGAAAGTGATTCACTGAGGCGAGCAGATAAACAAGCGGGGAAAGTACATCATCTCTGGCTTTGCTTCCAAACCCTTTGCTGGTTCTTCATTAATGTTTTAATGTGTGGTCCGCGTGCTTTGCTGTGGAGTGTGCCGCCAGGCTTGTCTGGATAGCAGCAGGGCAGGGTGTTTATTTTCACCATGAACTGTCAGGAAGGCTGGAGAAGCATTAGGCCTTCAGAAGCCTCACGTCAAAAACAATGCTGCCGACCGGCTACCAGACCCAGGCAAAGCCCCGTCCGTCTTCACCCACCCCCCCCGTTATGTTAAAAAAAACAAATCACAACAAAACACACACCAGAGAAACAGCTCTCTTTTCCTGTCTCAATATATTGCTGCAGCATCCTGTCTTTCCAAAAAAAAAATATATAATAATAATAATAATAATAATAATAAAATTTACAGGGATAAATAAAGATAAGAAGAGTTGAGACATTCCTAAAAGGGGAAGCAAACAGAATAATAACAAATATGAAACTATAATAATTATCTACTTTGGAATCCATTTAGTTGTTTTTTTTTTATCCCTTAAATAATTTTATTTGTACATCTTTTTTTTTATTGGTTGTTCAAAACCTTACAAAGCTCTTGACATATCATATTTCAAACATTAGTTTCAAGTGAGTTATGAACTCCCATTTTTACCCCAAATACAGATTGCAGAATCACATCGGTTACACATTCACATTTTTACATAATGCCATACTAGTAACTGTTGTATTCTGCATTTAGTTGTTTTGAAGTATAGCAATAGACTAAAATAAACCCAAGACAGGACTCACCTGTATATGCAATCTTCCTTTAAAACAGAGATCAGTGGGAAATTGTTGGTCTCTTAAGTAAAAGGTGCTAGCAAACGGGAACCTCAGCTCCTTGAGAAAATGGTTTATTCTACAGTTAGAGTTAGAATAGATTCAAAAAGAGCATGGAGTATTTTGTCATGCCAAAAAAATTACATGGGAATATGGCACAAACATGTAGGAGCGAGGTTGAAGAGCTGGCTCTCATGGCCAAATCTGAAAGGTAAAAAACCAAAATAAAGTCCAGTAATTTATTTATTATAAGTCATTAACTATAGGAATTTATTATTACTCAATAATAAATAGATAAAAATACATGCATAGGAGCGACTGGAAGGCTTTTGCTTATACCCGAACACTGAGAGCTGACTACTGAGTGTGGAATAGGGCCTGGAGCTAGAAAATCATCACATAACAACCATTATGGTAAAGATTGGTCAGGTAGGAATTATAAGTATACACTGTGTTTAAGGAGCAATATTTATGAGATCAAGATATTTGCATGTCTTTAAAGTGTTCTCCCATTCACTGTCTAGATTAGTGGAGACAGAAATCAGCCACAGTATGTTTTTAAATTTTTTTAAATTTGTTTTAATTAGTTATACAAGACAGTAGAATGCATTTATGCACTTTGATATATCATATATAGGTGGAGTATAATTTCTCATTTTTCTGATAGTACATGTTGTAGAATCACATTGGTCATGGATTTTATATATATATATATATATATATATATATATATATATATATATATATAATGTCTGTTTCATTCTTCTATCCTTTCTATCCCCATATCTCCTCTCCTCCCCTCCCTTTACTCCCCTCTACCTAATCTAAGGTAACTCTATTCTTTCCTAGTGCCTCCTCTTATTGGGAATTAGCATCCACATATCAGAGAAAACACTCAGCCTTAGGTTTTTGAGGATTGACTTATTTTGCTTAGCATGAGATTCTCCAACTCCATCCATTTACCAGCAAATGCTATTATTTCATTCTTCTTTAAAGCTGAGTAATATTCCCTTGAGTACATATAGCTCACTTTCTTTATCCATTCATCTATTAAAGGACACCTAGATTGACTCCATAGTTTATTGTGAATTGAGCTGCTAAAAATATTGATGTGGCTGCATCACTATAGTATGTAATTTTAAGTCCTTTGGGTATAAACCAAGGAGTGGGATAGCTGAGTCAAATGGTGGTTCCATTTTGATTTTTCTAAGGAATCTCCATACTGCTTTCCATAGTGGTTGCACCAACTTGCAGTCCCACTAGCCTGCTGCCACCAACCCCTGCCACAATATGTTTTTTAAAAGTAAGTGGACTATGGAGAGTTGGGGTAACACCTTTCTTCACCCAGTGATCAAAGTTAGTATCATTGATGGATGCTGTATTCCTCCACTTGTGAAACCTTGAGCCACACTATATATGCTTTATGTTTACAAACCTCTAAGGAAGCATCAAACACAAACTGAGATGGTTTCCTTAAGAAGGGGATGGACCAACATTCTTCAAGCATGTCTGTGTTATCAAAGACAAAGGTTTTTGGAAATGCTAAAAAGATGTGACAGCTAGCTCTGTAGTATCTGACCCAGAGATTGCATTCTGTTATTTCTGTGAGAACTTGCTCTAAAGAACAAAATTGAGCTCCCTGAGAAAGATGGAATCTGGGTAGTAGATTCAATGAAATTTAAGAATTTGACAGCTATCATAACTGAGCAATATAATACTTCAATCCTTAGAAAAAACACATAGTAGTATTTAAAGGTAGAGAGCCATGGTGAATGTCACTTGCAAACAGATATGTATCTATGTAAATATGTGCACATTTTTAGAAGTATACCTAGTACACGTGGATAAAAGGTAAATCTGGATAAGTGTTATGTAAGTTTTTACTATTTCTTTCAGCAATATAACCTGAAAATTTGAAATTATTTCCACATAAATAGTTTAAATTGATAAATACTGACAGAATAAATTCTAAATTCATTATTTAATCTTTCTCCTTATGGCACATAATTCATGCAAATTTCATGGGTATTGAAGCCTACTATGAGAGAAAAAGTCAGAAACTTGCATGACATTATAAACATTGGAGGGTATACATTTTTATTGTGGGTAAATATTCCATTCTGAGGAATATGGGCTGGAGAAATTCTTGCATGTTCACTAAGAAACATTCATAAGAATGTTCAAATATTCATAGCTAACCAATGGTTGGTACAAAAATAAAGCAAAACTGGAATCAACCCAAGCTTCATCACCTATAAAATTGGTAATTTGTGGGATATACACTTGATGAAATTATACTCCATTTACAATGTATGTTTTTAAGATGATCTATGCATCAATATGAATGAATCTTAGATTCTTATCATCTAATTATTGATGCCTATGCTATGCATGTTTCAGCCTCTGAGAAAGGGAGCAGGGAATGGAGGGGGCCAACTTTCTCTATTAAGAACCTGGTCAAAAAGAGGCTCACAGCGTGCTCCCATTCCCTAAGTAAATAATCACATAACCACACTTTGCTCAAGGTGGGGCTGGCAGCCACAGGGTTAAAATTCTGTTTCCAGGAAGAAGGAAGGAAGGGATTTTGGTGGTCAGCTAACAGGCTCCATGGCATAAACTATTTGAAAGCATGCCCCCTCAAAAGAAATAGCAAGAATTATTTAAATGTGGTAGGGTTATGATCTCTTTCTTGATATTTTTCTATATTTCAGAAATGCTAATGCTATTTTTAAGCTGGAAAAAAGTATAGTGTTTGGAGAATTGTGGTATAATAACCATTCTCAAATTATGAAAATGAGATTCCATTACTATGAAATAAATATACTGCAAGGCAGCTGCCTACAGTGACATTCAAAATTGAGGCTTGATAATAAACACAGGTGGAGCTGGCATCTCACCAGCTGATGCAGAGACAATAGTGTAGACACCACAAGCTGACCATATTAATATTGATGACCCTTGGCCATTGCTGGTGACAGTTTATGGTGCACTGTTGCACAGCTTTCTCATTTCTCTTCGAAGGTAAAACAACCTAGTCTTTCCTGTAATGATTTTGGTAGCAGGTCTTCAGATGAACTTTAGATAAGTAAATGGTGCGAATCCATAAAGCACCGCTGAATTCAAGATGTTCTTCTTCCTCTTTTGCACAGATAAGCCTCTGGCAGGCTCCTCCCTATTGGCAAGAAAGACTCCAGCGGTTCCCTCTTCTCCCTTCACCCCCATGCCTACCAGATTAGTATATGCAAAATCATTTCTTATGCTGCTACAGGCAGGTTGTTCTGCAAAAATTGGCTTGTGCTCTGGAGAGAAGAGCCCTCTTTCAAGAGATGCCACAGGCTGTCCATGCCACTTCAGAAGACATGGTGGATGTGCAGGACTTCTACCTGTCTAAGCCCGCTTGGAGTTCCCTTGGAATGGGAAATGTGCACAAAGATCTCAAAGCCCACTCTCTCCAGAGCCACCTGCTTCTCTTTTTTTAATTCACTTCCACCTCATGTGAAACTTTTTCACCCTGGTGATAAGGTCACCCCATGTGAATGGACTTTAGAAGAGCTTATTCCTAGTATTTCCCTTTCTCTCCTCTCCTCCCTGCCCAACCTCCTTCCTCCTTCTAGTCTACTGGTCTCCCTTCCATTTCTTTTAAATCAGTGCATTATGATTACATATAAAGTGGGATGTGTTGAGGTATTTACGTACATGGACAGAGCGTAATTTGATTGATTTTGTTTCCCAGTCCTTGCCATGCCCTCGTTTCTTCCTTCCCTCTTGATCACCTTCCTCTACTCTATTCGATCTTCTCTCTAATTTTGTGAGATCTTTTCTTTTTTTATTATTCTTTCTTTTTTCTCTCTAGCTTCCACATATGAGAGAAAGCATTGAACCCTTGTCTTTCTGTGCCTGGCTTATTTCACTTAGCATGATGCTCTCTAGCTTCTGGGACACTTTTGAGTAAAGGGAGTGCTTTTAATTCCAGTAAGACCAACAAACTTAAGCCAGGACTATTTGGGGCCATTGGACTACCTGGGTCCCTTTCATTCACAGAAAATGCATCCTTAGGCTATATTTCTAACTTCACAGTGCCCGGGGGCCTGTGACCCTAGATTGGAGGAGAACTATGTGTTTGTTATGCCAAGTCAGGAAAATCCCACTCCATCATGGAACAATTGCCACAAATCCACTGGAGCAATGAGTTCTGTTCATGGCTACACATCTATCAGAGACAGCCCAAATCTAACCTTAAAGCAGGAGCATTTCACTTTGAGATCATATATGAGTGAACTAAAAGAGTATGAAAATAATCAGGACTTGTCCTGGTTGTATCTAAGATTCAAGTGCTCGTGCATTTGCTAGGGATACTCTGCTCTTATGGGATTCTAGAAACTTTGATTCCAACAGTCGTTGGAAAATCAATCCAGGATCTGGGCATGTGTGTGTGCTGGATAAACTAAAATCCAAATTCACACTAGTTAGACAAGTTCAAAGGTCTGGGACCAAGGGAAATTAAGGTTAGGATTATGCACAAGCATTTCATGAGGAAAGATACTTCCATAGCAGTACAAAAGTGAAGTCTGTGTTCCTTCTTTTTAAAAGTAATTCTATTTATATGTGGATCTTTCAGGATTTTTAAAGAAACTTTTTACCATAGATAGTCATGTTTTATTTCATGATGAGGATATGTTCTGAGAAATAACATCATTAATTTTATCAATGTGTGAACATCACAGAGCATGTTCAGTCAGACCTAAGTGACGTAGGCCAGGCAACCAGGTGGCCTCTTCGTGCACAGTGAAGCTGAACTATATGAGGCTGCTGCTGGAGTACAACATCACTGTTTCACCTACTTCCTATAAGTTTTGATGTATAGTTTATCATCATCCAATTGTAAGTATTTTTAGTTTCTAGTTTGATTTTTTCTTTTGACCCATGTGATCTTTAAAATTACATTTTCAATTAACAAAAGTAGGTATTTCTAAGTGTATTTAGGTATTTCTAAGTGTAATTTTCATTATTGATTTCAAAATTAATTGTCTTGTGCTCAGAGACCACGGCCCATGGGACAGTCTGTTGAAATTTCTTAAGAATTGTCATGGTCAACTTCTCTAAATATTCCACAGGAGCTTGCAGAGAATATATACTCACGAATTATTGAGTAGAGTGTCCTAGGTATAATCCTAAGATCAAGCTAGGTATTGTGCTAGTCAGATCCATATTCTTGCTCTCTTTTGCCTGCTTGATGTACCAGTTACTAAGAGGAGCATTGCAAAGTCTGCCACAATCCTCTGCTTATTGACAGGGAAATGTTCTGAGAAATGTCTTGTTGGCAGTTTTGTTGTGCATAATCTTATGGGACCACCGTCATTTATATGGCCTCCTACTGACCATCGTGTTGTTACCAGGTTTCATTTATCCACCAAATAGCTATTATCAAAAAGACAGACAATAGCAAGTGTAGGCAAGGATGCGGAGAAAAAGGAACCCTTGCACCCTGCGGGTGGGATGGTAAAGTAGTACAGCCATTGTGGAAATCTATATGGAGGTGCCTCCAAAAATTGAAAATGGAGCTGACATACAACACAGCAGTCCTACGTCTGGATATGTGTCCCAGGATTTGAAATCATATGTCAAAGAGATGCCTGTATTCCCACATCCATTACAGCATCATTCAGATGTTCACATAAGGAAATCAGCATAGTGTTTCTGACCCCACGTTAGGCCATCATAGGAGCTGGTGGCTTACGTAAGGAGCTCCCTTCCAGAAAGAGTTAGGGGACCAATTTAGCCTAGGTCTGAATGTACTCAATCCCAACAGCTTTGACCAGACACAAAATTTTAAACACCCATCTCTTATGTGTTTATTAGTCAGTTTATATTTAATTCCCCAAAATGATGATTGTTTATTTTCTAGACAAGAAATCAAGAGTCCATCTCTCTAATATTGGAATTGTATGTGTTTTTCCTGTTGTCATTAAGCATAAAACAATTCTGTAATTCCAACAAGAGCCTAGTTAGCACCTTATTTAAAGCTTACATCTTATTGTCAATTACAGTACCTGAGGAAAAACAGAAAGAGAAAAAGTAAATTTTTTTTTTCCACCCTCTTTACCTGTCTTCTTGAAATGGGCCACCTAATCATAAAGGGAAGTGACATTTTCTCATCTTCTCTCAGGAAATCAATTCCATTTCTTTTGCAGATAAATTTAGAGAATTGGCCCCATAACTCTTTCTGTAATAAAACATGTAAGATGGAAATCAGATGAAAATCCAAATATCTCCCCATAAAATAGTCTGAAGTAACATAAGATCATTTGAGTGAGGAACTCAATTTGAAGGAACCGAGCATTACCTTACATTTCAGAGACGTGTTGAGTTTTGCCAGGAAAAGAGAACAAAATCTCCTGTGTGCTCATGAGGAAGCTGGTAGGGACTTGGTCGTTTGTTCATCACCTGTTTAATGAAGGCTGCTGTGTGTAAGGATTCAGTTCCAGCACTCTGGAGTCAGTGTGAGCAGAGGAGACTCGGGCTCTGTGCTCCTGGAGCTCTCAGGGAAAACTGCATGATCCCAGTGAGAGGGAGCACTGGGAGGGGAAGGTGCAAGGCTTATGAATGTGGGTCCTGTGGACTGTGGGGACCAGGTCTGTGACATTACACCTCCTCTTGAAGAATGATGGGAGCTGGTCTGGCAAAGGTTGTGTGGGAGGCTGTAGGAGGAGAAGCCCAGTTCAGGGAGGGCCAGATGTAGCCAAGATTGACTCCTTCCTTATTTCTCTTTCCATCTCTTTTTCTTCTTCTTAATTTCCATTTTTAGTAATAAAGCATAGTAGAGATGGGAAAAGACAAAGGGAACCTGGGCACAGTGGTGCACGCCTATAATCCAAGTGGCTTAGGAAGCTGAGGCAGGAGGATCACGAGTTCAAAGCCAGCCTCAGCAACTTAGCAAGACCCTAAGCAACTTAGCAAAAACCTGTCTCAAAAAAAAAGAAAAAAGAATTAAAAGGGCTGGAGATGCAGCTCAATGTTTAAGCACCCCTAGGCACCAAAAAAAGAGGGGGAGGGAGAGGAAGAATACTGAATTATTAGATTATAATTCTTTCTGCATTTGGACTCCTTAGATACTGGATCTGGATATGATCTTGGAAGCTAGGAGCATGGGTACCTGCTTCTGCCATTTACTTTATAAATAGCTACCCCAAGCAGGCCTGCTTTAGAGATGTAGCTCCTGGAACCCTGCCTGACTCTGCTTTCTTTTCTCTCACCTCTTCCTGCTAGTTGTGACCTTTTCTGGCTCCTTGGCAGTGTCCATCCTGTGAACAGCTACACACTCAAGTTCAGCTGAGCATACAGACCTTTGCATCTACCATCATAGGACCCAACCTAAAATCCTGCCTCTCCTGGCCCTGTGAGCAGGACTTAGACAATCTTAGGAAACCTGCTCCTTTTCCAGTTAAAGAAACTTTAGTGACTCCTCCAGTATGTCTTCTGTCTTCGGCCTGAATATTTTTTTCTTAGAAGGAAATCGACCAAGTTTCATATAGATATCTACCTGTTCCAGCACCACTGTGTTACAGTCATTTTTCTCCCATTAGGTTGCTCTGGGTACCTTTGTTGAGCATCATATAACCATGGAAGTGTGGGTCTATTTCTGGGTTTGCTGTTCTGGTTCTAATGATCATTTGTCAATCCTTATGAGGGTACCATACATCTTGATTATTGGATATGTAAAATAAGTCTCAAGAGCAGATGATGCACATTTTCTGATTTTTTTCCCCTCTTTTCCAGAAGAGCTCTGACTATTCTGGGTCCTTTGCATTTCCAGATAAATTTTAGAATCATCTTGTCAGCTTTTATAAAAACAGCCTCTAGCACCAGGCACAGTGGCACATACCTGTAATCCTGGAGGCTTGGGAGGCTGAGGCAGGAGGATCAAAAATTCAAAGCCAGCCTCAGTGAAAGCAAGGCACTAACTAAGCAACTCAGTGAGACCCTATCTCTAAATAAAATACAAAATAGGGCTGGGGATATGGC